GTTTAGACCACTTTCCCACAAGGTATATTGCTGCCAAGGCTGACGATATGAAGCATCAAAACCCTTCAGCATCTTTTGTAGTAATCGTACAGTCGCGCCGTGATCTTACCATTGGCGCTCTTCGGTATCACCCTTTCCCGCCACTTTAATATTCAAATTCGACGGATAAGCAGCACAACTCGTCCTTCGCGGTGCGCGTCGCTCGCCACGCCTCATGGGAATTCACGATTGTCTTGTCATATACCCGGCGCAGAGTGCACTGAGAATAGCACCAATCAGGCATTAAGCGGTGCACAGTATTTTCAGGCTGATATGGCTAAATTTTGTATAACTCAATCAGAGTCTGGCTTGTCCATCTGCCTACTACGGCTGATCGCACGGAAGCCTTGGTCCCTATTGACGGCAGCACTAATGAACCCTCCCTTTCTCTCTACTTGTATGGTGTTGAGTATGTAGCTACTTTTAAAGCTGGTTAACGTTAAGTTTTAATCCTGCACACTTCATTGGAAAGCAGCGTTATCGTGGAAACATCGCGTTTCTTTCGTTTTTGTCTTCAGTAGTTTACTTATTGTTCAATGCTCGACACTTGGCAATAGTTTGTTCTAACTCAGGGCTCGTCGCCACCTCAGTATTAAAACCCATTACTAACGATGAGCGACAGTGACGATAGTGATTTCTTTATCGATGACTCTCCCAAAAAGAAGCAACGCAACCCCACCAAAACCAGCAGGGGGAAGAAAGGCTCCAGCAAAACCAAAAGGAGCCTAAGGAGGCCGAAGGAGCATAAAGAAAAGAAAGAGAAGATAGGTAAGTTGAATGTAAGGTTTTGTTCATCAAATCTAGGCGTTTGAATTTTTGTTTTCTGCTTCAGCTGATATATCAATGACGATGACAGAAGAGGATAGGAATGTGTTCACGAATATCGACCAAGCTTCCAACAAAGGGAAGAAATTGGCTATTGAGGATATTTATCAGAAGAAATCGCAACTCGAACACATCTTGCTTCGTCCTGATACCTACATCGGATCTGGAATATACAGAGAAGACAGTACGTGCATTAGAATAGCTTTCTTTCAGGCCGCGATTAGATCGCGCTATCCAGTAGCGTGATCGCGGAGTCTGAACGCCGTCTCACTTTGAAAGACGCCATCCTATTCATATAGTTTTTAGTCGATGTGGATATACGACAGCGAAACTGAAAGGCTTGTTCTGAAAGACATCCAATATGTGCCAGGACTGTACAAAATTTTTGATGAAATTCTTGTAAATGCTGCCGATAACAAACAAAAGAGATCCAAAATGAACGCATCAAGATCCACATCGGACAGTAAGATTTTCCGATTCTTGACTTCTGTGTAGAATTGAAAATTGTTTTCGTAACAACACTAATATACCGTGAGTAGGGGGTGGGGGGTGCACGCAGCCATTTTAACCTAGAGGCGACTGCTGGAAAACGTGTACTGCTCTTTGACTGAACCATATTCAAATAAAATATGGGCACTATTTATCCTTTACTGCCCCAACCATCCAGAACTGGGCCAGTTTCGGATCGACTTTGTTCTCCCTGGTTATCTGAGGTATTTTAGCGCCAGGCCCTGTGGCGCGGGCATAGAGGTTTCGTGGGGCCAAACGATCGATTAATTTTCCATGTGAGGGAGGTCAAACTACAACCAGGGTACAAATATTTCATGGCCAATTTTTGCTGAGGCAGAAAAAAGTCGGTCAGAAGCAGGCCTGTTTTCGGAAGATTGGGGCGAAAGGGTAAATAGTGCCAAAACATGCAGCCACATACCTTCCCATCTCCGCGTTATGTATGGGGTGCACACCCTGTGAGATGTAGTTATTCACTGTTTGACTCCGTAAGTAATGGAACCGTTCCATCTGCTTTCAGGGCAAAGAATCAAGTTTCTATTTTCAATAACGGCAAAGGAATACCCGTTGTGCACCACAAGGTGGAGAATATGTACGTACCAGAAATGATCTTCGGAACACTGCTGACGTCTTCGAATTACGACGACAGTGAGAGAAAAGTGCGTTTTGAAATCGCTATAGGCTTCGCCATAGTATTATACTTCGCAGTTTTTCGTTGGATGGGGAACCGCTCATTTTCTAGGTTACTGGTGGTCGTAATGGATACGGAGCCAAGCTTTGCAACATATTCTCAACTGAATTTACTCTTGAAACCTCATCAAAAGAGTACGGGAAAGCCTTCAAGCAGGTGATCGCTTTGAGATACTCCCTCCTTATTTCTACCTATTTCTACGAGTTTTGCAGACATGGATCAACAACATCGACCAAAGACAAAGAGCCTCAGATGTGTAAAGGCTACGGCGATGACACTACACAAAGGTGAGGTCAAGCTTCTAAAAGATTATTTTGTTATATAAAAAACCATCTCAGATTACATTCAAACCGGACTTGAAAAAGTTCAAAATGTCGGAACTGGACGACGATATCATCGGTTTGATGTCTCGTCGTGCTTACGATATTGCTGGTAGTACTAAAGGCGTAAAAGTGTTTCTCAATGGGAAGGCCTTACCGGTAAGGCGATGGTTTCATTGTGGCGATGACTTCAAATTTTTCATATAGCGATGATAAAATTTTGGTGGCAAGGCTTTCAAGCAGTACGTGGAAGCAATACACAAAGGATATCACTGGCCCTACAGGCGAGCCAGCGAAAGTTGTTTATGAAGCGGTAGGTTATTCAGTGAAGTAGACGTTGTAAGTCTCAGTTCATTTCGCGTCTTTGCACCGCTCTTCAGGCGGGACCCCAGATGGAAGATCCCAAGCATTGCCTTTCCTACAGTGCATGTTGAGTTTGGTGGTATACAGTTTCAATGGTTCTCTAAGGTGCAGCGAACGGGTGGGAGTAGCTCTGACTGTTTTTCTGAAAAAGGATTCCTAACAAGTATCGTTTGTCAACAGTATCGCAACCAACAAAGGTAGTTTTTGTTTGACCTTGCAACGGCTTACTCAGCAACCATTATCGTTCAGTTGTTCCAGCGAACCGTCGGCTGCACATTTAGTACAAGCTCGTTGACTTCAGGGTGGCCGCGCTGTTTGACTACGTAGGCGGATCCAGATGGTCTTCGAAAATTAATCGAGTGTCATCAAAAAAGAAAGTTGGCAAGAGCACAGTGAACGTCAAGCCATTCCAAGTAAGATTCTACTGTTCCCATGTGATTTTCCAGGGATGTTATCAATGATTTCCATTCATTTAGGTTAAAAATCACATGTGGGTGTTTGTGAACTGCTTGATCGAGAATCCTACTTTTGACTCGCAATACAAAGGAGACTATGACTCTACAGGCGAAGTCGTTTGGTTCGAAGTGCGAGCTCAGTGAGAAGTTCTCCAAACAGGTAATCTTGCAACCAGAGCAGGGGCTTGGCAGTATGGTTGGAGGGGCCTTTTGCACGGCAATAAGTTCCAACACCTGTTTTCATGGGCGGATTTCAGGCAATAAGCTGTGGTGTCGTGGACGCTTGGCTGCTGGGTAAGGTTCAAGCAGCAAAGAAGATATGAACAGGAAAGTGCAGTTCAAAGAAAACCACGAAGTTAAAGGTAGATCAGCCTGCTTAAATATCCGACGGCCTTCCTATTTTGACGCAATCATTTGTGAGTGGTTCCAGGGTATCCCCAAATTGGAAGATGCTAACGACGCTGGTACCAAGAATTCTCAGCTCTGTACTCTGATCCTTACTGAGGGAGATTCAGCCAAAACGTTGGCTGTCTCGGGTCTCGGTGTGGTTGGCCGTGATCGCTACGGAGTATTTCCCCTTCGTGGTAAACTGCTTAACGTTCGTGAAGGAAACATCAAACAGGTTGGCGAAAAATTTGCCTTGACGTGACCGGAATGCTTTTTTACTCCCATATAAAGGTGGCGGAAAATGTGGAGATCAATGCGCTGATCAAAATACTTGGCCTGCAGTACAAGAAGAAATATGAAACTGAAGAAGACTTCAAGTCACTGCGTTATGGAAAAGTGATGGTGATGGCTGATCAGGTTAGTCCTCCGAAAATTAACTCTTGAGTGTTGCTTCATATCTTTTGGTGGAGAGTGCCTATCTAAACCGCTTTTTTTACGTCTGAAGGACGTGGGGGCCAGGCGTTGAGATATTTGCAGAAGCTTCAACACAGTGCGATAGTGTGCCCTTTATGGAAGGGATGCTGATTTACTTGTTTTCTTAAGTACTTCATAACGTTATCTTTCAAGGATCAAGACGGTTCTCACATCAAAGGACTGGTGATCAACTTCATCCACCACAACTGGCCAAGCCTTATTCAACGGAATTTTGTTGAGGAGTTCATCACTCCATCGTTTAACGGTTAGCTTATATTGATTTAGCTTTTGCGTTGAAAATTGACTGTAAACATTGCAAATTCAGGCATCGAAGGGAAAAGAGGAACTTTCGTTCTTCTCAATACCTGAATACAATGAGTGGAGAAATAATACTGAAAACTGGAAATCGTATAAGATCAAGTACTACAAAGGATTGGGTGAGACTTTTTCCTGTATTAGCACTGTAAAAATGTTTCATAAAAACGAGTTAAATGTGATGTAGGTACTTCGACCTCAAAAGAGGCGAAGGAATACTTTTCTGATATGGTTCGTCATCGCATCAAGTTCAAATATGGTGGAGTCGAAGACGATAATGCTGTGGATATGGCCTTTTCTAAGAAAAGATAGAAGAACGAAAAGTATGTCAGGGGCTAGAAGAAATAGTTCGCATGTATACTGATTTGAAACTTTAATACTTGTTCTTTAATCGATATCACCTGGTGTTATAGGACTGGCTGACCAAGTGGATGGCAGAAAAGAAGGAACGGCGCGCGAGAGGATTAGAAGAAGAGTACCTTTATAATAAGGACACTCGTGCGGTTACCTTCAGTGACTTCGTTAATAAGGTATCATGGCCCCTCAACCCTCAACTTTCAATCGGCCCGCCGCGCCCTCTGCCTAATGATGTACAATGCCATTTCATTCAAGGAATTGGTTCTTTTCTCAAATACTGACAATGAGCGGTCAATTCCCAGTCTGGTTGATGGATTCAAACCTGGTCAACGAAAGGTACATTAGTAACGTTACACTAGCATGTACATCTTTATTAATTGAAGTGGTCTTCAGGTGATGTTCGCTTGCTTCAAGCGTGCCGATAAGCGCGAGGTGAAAGTAGCACAGTTAGCTGGTGCAGTTGGAGAGCTCTCTGCTTACCCAAGCCCCCCCCCCCCCCCCCCCCCCCCCCCACCCCCATCATGGTGAAATGTCATTGATGGGTACGATCATCAACTTGGCTCAGGTTTGTTGACAGAAATTGTATACTTGGTTGTTCTGACTCTGATCGTTCGAAATTGGGCTGTTACAAGCACATATTCCAGGATTTTGTTGGCTCGAACAACATTAACCTTTTGCTGCCCATCGGTCAGTTTGGCACACGTCTCCAAGGAGGAAAAGACAGCGCATCTCCTCGTTACATCTTTACTCAGCTCAAGTAAGGGTTAATCAAAATTCCTGGGTTTAGATATCGCAAAAGTGTTCCATTCTAGCCCTGTGTCTCGAACGATTTTCCCTGTGGTTGACGACCATGTGCTGCGATTCTTGTTTGAAGAAAATCAACGTATTGAGCCGGAGTGGTACTGCCCGATCATACCACTTGTACTTGTCAATGGAGCATCAGGTGGGTATTGTTTCATGAGCCATTCATGTAATTCTGAGTGATCTTTCAGAATTGTTATGGTTTTTGCTTGGGTTAACTTCTCTCCCATAGCAAGACTGAAATTTTCGAATTTTTCCAGGTATTGGTACCGGTTGGTCAACATCCATTCCAAACTACAACCCACGAGAGATATGTGAGAACATGCGCATGCTCATTCGTGGACAACAGCCGAAGCCATTGGTATGAATTTGCCAGTTTTGACTAAATGTGTGCTGTTCAATTGAGGTCCCGTCAAAATTAGTTTTCTCAGCTGTTTTCGTCTTATTTCAAATACATACTGTACACTTCGTGGTGATTCCCTCCAAGGCATTCCCTGCATGTTCGGGAAGAACGGATTAGTAGCTCTGAAGTGTACCACTTTCGTCCCTCGGTAGGACTCGGAAATAAGGCTAAAGATAGTAAAAGCTGAATGCCCTCCAACGAGTCAGACTGCGTTGTCCTCAAGGCGGTACCATGATGCCGTAGCGAACACTCAGAGGTAGAGAACAACCACGTGACGAAGGGTGGGAGGGGCATACAAGTAGCCCGTTTGACCGTGACAAGGCACACAGATGGCCGTGCGAGAGCGCGGGCGCAGTCCCAAATGGCGCCTGGCTGTCAGTGTCCTCACACGGCCTTCGTGTGAGTTTTTGAGGGAAAAGTAGCCCAGTTTCACAACTAAACACGCATTCACCTCGCACATGGCGAGGACGAAAACATCCGAGGCGAGTATACCTTATAGTATGGCATACAGTTTGCCTGTGAATTAACGCTCTGCGCTCTTTGATGTTCAGACACTTTATGGTGCACAAGATAGTCCTGTCCGGGCGCATTGGGGAAGTACTACTCCTGCAGCTCAAAGATTTCGCAGAAAGCATGATCCGTCGCTCACAACAAACTCACTGGCCTACTGGCCACTCAACGTCCAACTTTTATTTCCAAACGCTTCGTGGTTTGTATTTATTCGCCACTAACTCCCTACATTTGAATGGTGGGAGTGAGGTGATGAGGGGCAATACCTGGCACCAACAAGTTAGAATTCGCCCTACCGTAGTTTTCTTCTTTTACTTTACTTTTGTGTTGTGTACCATCTTGTCATTTGTATTTGAGCAGCTTATTATATTTTTGACCTCGATTTGTGCCTTCAAGCTAGACAAAATGTAATGTATCGACGACCGACATTTTTTCTACAAACACACTTTTTGCTTACGTGAAAAAACTTGCCTGGAAAATATGCCTCGAAATCATTTACAAAAGTGCGAAGCGAGAGTTGGAGAAGGCGCGTCGGAGCTGAAGTGAATGACTTTCAAGAATCACGGATGGCTGTTAGGAACTAGCCTTTACTTTTATGTCAATGTAGTTATTCGAGTAGTTGCTTATGGTTGTTCTACAACAGCTGATTGTGTTGTACAGGCTCCGTGGTTCAAACACTTCCGTGGCACTATTGAACAATTGGATTCGTCCCGATATGTGTGCTCTGGTGAGGTCGCCGTTCTCAGCGACGACACTATCGAAATCACCGAACTGCCCATCAAGACATGGACTCAAACATACAAGGAAACGGTGCTTGAGCCTATGCTCGAATCCAGTGACAAAAAGTCGGCCATGATTAGGTGTGTATAATAAGCTCGAATACTTCTGTATGCTCTGAGAGTTTGAACTCTTCAGTGATTTCAAAGAGTATCACACCGATGTGACGGTTCGATTCGTCGTGAAGCTACCTCATGGAAAACTGAGAGACCTAGAAGCTGAAGGTCTGCACAAAGTGTTCAAATTGCAGACAGTTCTGAACACAACCTCCATGGTTAGTTTACGCTACCTATTTTCAAATGAGGAAATTTGCATCCTATGGTTTTTTCCAGGTGCTGTTCGATGCAGCGGGTTGTTTGAGGAAGTTCAATACAGTAGAAGAGATTTGCGCTGAGTTCTTTGAGACGAGGAAACAGAAATATATCGCTAGGAAAGCATTCATGGAAGGCATGTTGCGCGCGCAGTCGAATCGTCTGAGTAATCAGGTGAGTGAAAGCAGTACGCTTTGTTTGATGGTATCGTAATGTTCTTGGTGTTGTTTAGGCTCGTTTCATCTTGGCGAAAATCAAAGGGGAGATTGTGATGGAGAACAAGAAGAAAGCAAACATCGTCGAGCAACTGATCAAAAAAGGTAAGAGTTTCGGGTGGTTTTGAGTGATATCCACTTTATTTTTCTTTCGTGGAGTGATCCTCTACTTCTAAGGATTTGACCCTGATCCGGTAAAGAAATGGAAGGAGCTTCAGAAGAAGAAGGAATTGGAAGAAAGTGGCGAGTATGATATGGAGGAAGAGGAAGAGGCCACTGAGGTTAGTGAATCATTCAATCTAATTTCGCCTTTCTATTATTTTGGCAGTAGGAGAATCGGCAAAGTCCGATGGTTTTGGTCTGTGATGATAGCAATGATATCAGCAATGATTTTCCTGTCATCTTCTTGTTAACGGTTTCTGCTCGATAGTGTTCATCATGCAGAAACAGATGTGATGACAAACAGAGAAGCCACTGCTTTAGAAATGTCACCATAAGTGTGTAGGTGATGTATAAAGGCGCAGAGGTACATTTCTGCTCTTTGAGCATAAATCGACAAATGATTACGAAAAGGCGAATCTGAGACCAAGAGACTGTTGCACTCTATTTTCTTAGAGCCTCTGGTTTCCTATGGTCCAAGAAAGTTATCAACCTTGCTTTTTTATAGGAAAGTGAAGGGGACAAGGATGTAGATACGAAGTTGTCTGACTACGACTACCTCGTTGGAATGGCTTTGATTAAACTATCCGAAGAAGAGAAAAATAAGTTGCTCAAAGAAAGCGATGATAAAATGAAAGAACTGCGCGACCTGGAAGCGAAAACATGGGCGGATTTGTGGAATGCTGATCTGGACACCTTCATCGAGGCGCTTGATAAACAGGTAGGTCTTGGATGGCGTTTGCTAGTAGGTGACCTTTATAGTTTCATCTGTACGAAAACTTATTCAGGAAGCTAAGGAAAAGGCTGATTTGGAGTCGAATATCAAGAACGCCGCGAAGAAATTCGTGAAAGAGGAGAAACCCAGTAAAGGGGCGAAGAGGACAGCGGCATTTGCAGCGGTATCTAAAAAAGCTCTTTCTATGATAAACTGAGACTGACTTTGTTGTTTCCAGGAAGTTTTCCCTTCAAAGGACGGTATTCGTATAGAGCCAAGTATTGACAAAGCGTTGAAGGAAAAGTACGATAAGATAAAGGCAGCGGCAACGAAGGAGAAGAAACCGAAAGAGCCGAAGCCACCGAAAGAGCCGAAGAAACCGAAGGTTGAAGGAGATGACATTAAGAAGTTCATCAAGGTAAGTAGCAATGAGTGGCGCTGGAGTCAATCGGCCATCAGGGGGTCCTGTTTTATTGCTATGATAATCCCATAGCGACTTTTCAGACTGAGAAAAAGAGTCCAGAGAAAAAGAGTCCAAAGAAAAAGAGAGCCGATACGTGGGATTCTGATGCAAGTTCTTCTGATCTCAGTGATGTTGATGATGTGAGTGTTCCTTATATGTCGATAGGTTTCAATTATTTGAACAGCTGAGACAGTTATTCTTCAGGCTGAAGAGAACCCCTTGTTCGATGACGAAGATGTCGAGGAAGTCATACCTAAGAAAGATCGCGCTTCTAGAGGACCTGTGAGTGACTCGAGATAGAGAGTGAGCACGTTAAATTCAAATGAGAAGCCTCAATTTTCAGCCTAAACGTTACGCTGAAGATGATGAGGCTATGAGCAACGGACACGCTGCCGGTGACGCTAACGGTGATGTTGTGATGTTAGACGATGATGATGAGGTTTCGTCACCAGTGAAGGTTTGTCAAAGATTAGCGTTCTCAGTGGACTTCTTGTACTTTCTTCTTTACTTCGAACTAGGAGATGGAATATTACTCTCGAATTTCAGGCTGAGCCAGTCAAGAAGTCTGCTCCAAAGAAGAAGCAGGTCGTTGAGAGTGATGAAAGCTTTGGGGAATCTCCTCCAACAAAGAAAACATCAAAAGTCAGTTTTGAGAATAGTTTTTTTTGGTGTCTGGGGCGCTTTCCTTGGTCTTGCGGTGTCCCTGCAGTAATGCGCGCGCGAGAACTTTCGGGCAGAATGGAGGGTGATCTCTTTTTTGTATGTTCTAATCTCTAACTTTGTTAAATACAGATGTCCGATAACTTCATCGAAATTATCTAGCAAGTTAGCGACTACTAACTACTTTTCCATGCTGACAAGTTTACTAGATTGCAACATCACATATATCTGCACGAAACGCTAGGGCCCTCGTGCACTTTATACCCCCGAAAATAGGGTAGATGTGGAGAACCAAAGAGGCTGAAGTTAGTTTTTCAGCCATCAACTCCAGCTAAGAAACCACCGCCCAAGAAGAAAAATCTCGCTGCTGGTGACGTAAGTGATACCGAGCCGTCTTCTAAGAGCAAAAAGGTTCGTTTGTTGATTTTTTGGGATTAAGTGGGATTCAGTAAGATGAGATATTGTGTCAGTTGATTGATTATTTCAGGCTTCCGATGACTATGATGTTTTTGAAATTCCTGATGATGACGAGGACGAGAAACCAGCGGCTAAAAAGAAGGCTCCAGCAAAGAAAACGGCTGCACCAGCCAAGAAGGCTCCGGCAAAAGCAAAGAAAGAGAATGGTTCAACTGATTCTCCCAAGATGACGGACTTCTTTGGAAAAAAGGTTTGTTTCACTTCGAAATCTTTTCTTTCTGAATGGTTGAAAATTTGTTTCTAATCAATAGCATCCTTATGGACTTATTTTGCGCTGAAGAAATAGTGGCGAACATCCCCTAGTAGGTCTTCCATGAAGCCGGCCTTCCTTATACCTTCTCAGGCAATCTCTCTATGAGTTTTTCCATAGCAGGTGCAAAAAAGCAGTCGCCTAGAAGACCGACGTCTTGTTTGTTTCAGTAAAGTTTAGGGTTGGTTAACCCATAAGTGATCGCGTTTTTCTTCCTTTCAAGCAAAGTATTGTGTAAGAAAAGGAAGTGCTCTTTCACATTTCATAGATTTCCATAGAGAATTTCTCTCTATAGGACGTATCCTTGACCTTTTGTTGTGGTCATTTAGTTTACGATAATTCTTAGAACATTAGAAATGAGAACCAAGAAAATAAATGTTTTGAACAGCGGATTTTTCCACTCGTTGGGATACTGCAACACCGAGGTTCGAACGTCGAAATTCGTGGAACGCATGGTCTGGTAACACTGTCTTTTGTAAAAGCTTAGGATTGGTTCGAGTGATCCGAAGCTGAGAGCTTAGACCTCGTGAAAACTCATCGCACCTGGGAGCTACTCCATGCGGGAGCCAAATTTTTAGAACCTCATACCATCAAGCAAAGTTACCTGCATGAGAGTGTGGGGCCATTCCATGATCTCTATTAAAGGCAGTTGGCACGATAAATCCCCCAAGACGACTAGGATCAATACTCCTGGCAGGATAGAATTCCGCGACCCTGGGCAGGCGCTGCATAGCGGTTTCCCCGAGGAAGGTGCCCTTATAAGGGCCCTATCAAGCCACAACTTTACGTCCCAAACGCCCGCCACGCCCGCCCGCCCACAAATGGACGACCGTTCCTGACGCTCTAATCGATTCATTTGCTAAGCAAATTATGAAGCGAAGGAATTGTATTGAAGGGCAGGTTATTGAGACTGCTGAGATAAGGTATCAATAAAATGCCAAGCAGTATTACAGTACGAGATGTACGAAATCGCCAGAAGATCATTAGGAAGACATTGATCGGGCGTATCGAGCCAAGAAGTCGCAGCACTGTCTTTGAAGCGCGTATGACAAAAAGTGGTAAAACGAGTAATACGAAGGATATAATGCTGTTATGTCATTTGATCGCTTCAACAACTGGTGCAGAAAGACTTTGGAACCGCGGAAAACGCAGCCGCACTGACCCGCCCCGACAGTCCGTAATGATGAGGAGTATACGCACCCATACCTTCGGTAGCGGTTATTGGCAAAATGCCTAACTGGTCCAAAATTGATTTTGAACATATGGAGAACGGAGGCGCTTTTTTCGCAGGATTTTGGCCGTTTCGCTCCCTTCTTTCGCCTTTTCCCCACTACACAGCGCTCCCACTAGCTTTTTAAGCTAAGTAGGAAACCATCGTGCCGACTGCATTTGAATCCTCTTATATCGAGGTGTTCCTGAATAAGTTATACAAGTAGGTTTTAAAGTCGAACTCAATATAGTGGCCGATGGTTGCTAGTTTGAGGTTCGAAATGAGACTAGAAACGTTAGCTGAACTAACTCGGAACCTTAATAGGAAGCATCGCTTCTTGGTCACAAAACCACAAAAAACCTCTAAGGCTTAGCTCAAAAAACTTAAAGAGACACCAAAGGGATGCCAAACAAGTGCAGTTTTGTAGACTTGATACTCCGCTTCTGCTTGAGGGAGAAATCCTCTGTCAGAGGGTCTTTATCATTTCCCATCACTCTTCCCCCGATTGATTAGTGATATTAGAGAAGTGCTTGAGGGATTTGGCGGCTATGTCTGGATTTGTGCGTCGTCGAAATTTTCAAGTACAATAATTCTTCGACTTTCATGACTTTAAATTACTTTTTCAGAGTAAAAGCAAGAAGAAGGGTGGTGATGATTCGGAATCGGATGATGAGGTTGTGATAGAAGACTCACCCCCAGCTCCGAGGCAGACGAGGTATACTATCAAACCAAGCCATTTACTAGTATGTAATAATTTCTGCATTTGCGTTTAGTCGACGTGCCCGACCAGCAGCGAAGTACAATTACGGTGGCACTGACGACGAAGATGAAGATGATGACTTCCCAGCAAAGAAGAAGAGAAAGGTTATCGACAGCGACAGCGATTAAATCGTTCGTTGACTTCCGATGATGGGATAGTGAACCTGTTGGTGCTTCATAATGCATGGTTTGTATGTCGTCACTTTGTCGTGTTCATCTCACATATAATTATTTGTTGTAGTATAATAATAATAATATTAACAATAACAAGGGTTGTTTGTAAATTACCAAATTCTAAGTATCGTTTTTCTTCGATCTCGTAACTTATCAAGCCCGGATGAGAGCGATTCAGATACTCGTTGTTCTGCATTATCTCAGCAAAAGTTTGTATCTTCTACCTTGCAAAACATTCTATTTATATTACTGTGTCATTCATGTATTTTAGGAGATTTACTCGTTTTTTTTTGTCTGTAATGGACCTCCGTGTGAATAAAGGACTATGCTTGACGTTTGTTTTGTATGATTGAACCTGGCCGTTTAGTTGCCGGTTACTTGGCCATAATCTTACCTTTCAGCGTTTGCCTCCAACCATAAGGTGAGCCCTGTTATCAAGGTTACTAACAACGACTTATTTCCGAGGAGCTAGAGGGAGAAAAACAAATGAAAAGCGACAAGTCAAAGAGAGAAAGTGTACTCGAAAGGCTGCAAATATCCATTAGGTATTAATTTGAAAATGTGGAAGGTTTTATTCAAATAGAACAAAACTGAAACCAGACTAAAAATATTTTGGCTTCGAACCAAAATTTTTCCTCAACGGCAGAACGCGCCCTAAACAAGGAGAAGGATTCTGTCGCCGTGTCACAGTAGCCCAGTACCTGCACGACATGGGCGGGAATTCTGAATAAAGCAACTTACCGCACGGGGGCGGCATACCAATACTTACATCTAACTCGTACTCGTCATGGGGGATCCCACCTTTCACAATATGGCGTAACATTACGTCAAATACCGCCAGGAAGTACATACCATTTAGAGGTGTTTGGTCAAGAAAGTGGTTTCATACTCATCACCCGCAGAACTCTACCTACGCTAGCTATTTGGTCTTGTTAAAGGCAGGTCGGCGATCAGGCACAGAAGTTGAAAATATGGCGTCAGGAGGTAGTGTGGATCGCGGCGAACAACCTTGTACCGGTTTCGCGGCAAAAAAATGTGAATGAGGGGCGCTATAGCGCAATATAGGTTCAGTGACGCCTTTTATCCAGTGACTCCGCCTCCAGACCCACCTTCAAGGCCCGCCTTCCAGTGAAAAAGTAAGCTATCGGACGAAACAGCATGAAAATTGTCACTTGTACGGTCGTAGAGTTCTTATCGGGGATGAGGGCGTAGTGTTGAAGATGAAGTTAATTAGGCACGTACATCCTAGTATCGAAATGGGGTCCTATCTAAGGCAGTTGGCATGTTTATTTCTTCTCTTTTCTTCACTACCGAGCTACTAACCACCTTGTTGTCAAGATGGAAACTCGTAATCCACTATCTGTGAAGGTGAATGATCGCGTTCTTTTCCTTTAAAGACACATAGTACGCATACACATTGAGGGTGTATGAGACTATCAGCCCCCCAGATGTCGATGTGTCGTGGTCCCCCCGCCCAAACATGCCCAGGAATGGAGATACAGGGCCGTGAAACACGCTAATTCTTCCATGCTCCGCCCACTGCCTTTTTACGGCGCAGATTCCCGCCGTTCATAACATCCGTTGCAAGCGCGCCTGTCGCGTGCGGCTCCTTGGCACTTTGCCAAGTCCTTTAATTGCGCTCTCAAATACAAGTAAAACGCAATTTCCTGATGCGGATAACATTGGAGGTGCTACAAAATAAGAACAGAAGATGATGACGAGGGTCAGAACTTAAAAGCAACTGTGCCACTTCTGCAACATCCCTCGGAGGCCACGTATTTCCACGAAACATGAAAATAAAAACGGCATACTCGTTAGTTTAATACAAGCAAAACGCAATTTCCTGATGCGAATAAAATTTTAGGTGTTGCTCATGCTTCAAAATCCATGTACAAGGAGATGAAGATGACACAGGCTAGAAATGAAGCACAACGATGTAAATGTAAACAAAACAAAAATGAAAAAATCAAGGAAAGGCAAATTAGATAAACTGGCCTGTAAATTTCTACGATCCGGCGCCAAAGCCATAGAAATACTTAGAACAAACGAGTGGGACGCTTGTTTTATTTTCATGTTTTGTGGGAATGCGCGGCCCTTGATGGATACTGCAGATGCAGCCGAGTTGCTCTTGAGTTCTGCCCTTGTCATCATCTTCTGTCTTATTTTGTAGCACCTCCAATGTTATCCGCATCAGGAAATTGCGTTTTACTTGTATTTGAGAGCGCAATTAAAGGACTTGGCAAAGTGCCAAGGAGCCGCACGCGACAGGCGCGCTTACGACGGATGTTATGAACGGCGGGAATCTGCGCCGTAAAAAGGCAGTGGGCGGAGCATGGAAGAATTAGCGTGTTTCACGGCCCTGTATCTCCATTCCTGGGCATGTTTGGGCGGGGGGACCACGACACATCGACATCTGGGGGGCTGATAGTCTCATACACCCTCAATGTGTATGAGCGTACTATGTGTCTTTAAGTAGCTGTCAGGCTTGACGAGCAGCAAAGAGCCACGACATTTTCTCTTACCATGTCACTACCTCATTGACTGGCGCTTCGTATGATACCCAAGAAGGAACATCCGCTGAGAACACATACGCTAAAAAATTACAACATTTATTTGCTTTAAAGTTGTATCATTATTCATCTTCATCGTCGTCATCGTCCTTTGATGAGGACCTTCCTCCTATGTCACATCCTGTACAGGCACATTTGTTACTCACATCACATGCAAAAACATCACAACCCTAAATAGCAAAGTGTTAGGGGGATAAAAGTGAGGTCGGTGATGAGGATAAGGGTAACCTGAAATGGGTAAGTATTCCGGGATTCTGGGTGCTATCACAGTTTACGGTAGCAATGTTTACACGGACTTGGGAAACGCACAATATGTTCTGACACACCTACTGATGTTGCCAACGATAAAGTCCACGTAACCGTTGCTACCACTGCGATAAGTGGATTCCAACGCATAATGCACGACACTTTGGTACTCGCTCGAAATAATAACAGGGGGTGCCAGATAATGGGGAAATGACGAAAAAGCGAAGTTAAAGACAGTTCCCGCAATCAAGTGGTCCGCGAAATGCTTCCGTGCATTTGGCATCGTTGTCCGCATTCGCAGAGAATATACCACTTTCGTCACTCGAAACGGCGAGATAAAGAAGCTAGAGACGCGTGATTATTGCAACCATTGCAACCACGATTACTTTCACTCTGCAAGACAACGGCTTACAAGCGTAGTCGCGTGTGCAGCGTCGCCTGGAGCGTCGTAGGGCGATTTCCTATGCTGCCGCGAATTGGATGCATGTGGCCCTGGTGACTAGTCTTGTCCGACGTCCGACAAACTCGTCCAAGGCGTCGCCCCACTGCTGAAGGGGGGATCTCTGTTCAGAGTGTTTCCAAGGTTTTTTTCGCTTCTTTCTCTACTGAGGAGTTACTTATGGGCTACTGGTTCATGATTGAGCACCTACTACCCGTAGCACTTGATCGCCCAAATTGTCTTTGAACGGCCGAAAACCTTTAAAAAACCCTATGTTCATGAGTTTCCCATTGGGTCGTGCTAACAACCGCTTCAATAGGTGAGGCTGCGCGTATGCATTCATGTACCCATGTAGTAATTGTTCTTGTCAGTTGTACTTCATGGATGGAGCAATAGGAATATCAGCGTCGATATGACCGCGCGGCCATTTGTGGGCGGGCAGTTGCCGTGGGCGTCTTGGTGGAAGGGGGGGCGCCATTTTATTGCACCGTTAGCCGCTATAACTGTATCCTTTGGTTGCGAAGGTCCCACACCTGCCGTGGGGCACAATATTCTTTCAAACTGGGCGTACTGACCCTGTACGCCTTCTCGATTCATCGTGATATTTGCCAATATAAGCGTGTAAGTCAGTGAAGACAGCGAGCAAAAGGAACATTTAGAAAGGCACTCTTTTATAGCATCATTTTTTTTTGCTGTGCATGAGCATATAGGCTGGAAAATGAAGCCTCCCTCCATTGATCAATCCTTTCTTTCTTCCTACTCCCCTGAGGGCAGAAGGCTAATTGGCCTGGGCGGGAGCCAATCCGAGATCCGACCTCAGACCGCACATATGGTAAGCGAGCGCCACTTGCTACTACCTTACGTCCACATCAAATTGCACAGTATCGAGAAGAACTCGGAGCGTATCGACAAACGAGGGGTAGATGCTAGACCCGCAAATAATTGTGCGCGCAACGACGTACTGCTTCACAGACTGGTTTCCTGAAGCTCTTCCTGTTCTTAGATTCGAGGGAAGCCTCATTTCGCACCGCTCGAGTTCATTCGATATTCCCCATGATTCTTCGATATCTAGTACCAGCTGGCTTCGCCGGCCTGACTCCGGCGCGCCTCCTAGGATACTGCGCGGCTCCGCCGCGCTTACCTTCTTCCACACATTTCATTAGCCGCCTAGTATCAGGCTCTTCTTTTACCCGAACAGGTGGTCAACATTCTTTGACCAATAGCATCATACCTGCTCCTTTCAACACTATTACGGTGTATGGAGTGGTGGTAAGGAGCGTTGATCAAGTGGACAGATGAGAGAAAAACCGGGTATTAGTCGAGCATTTGATCGTACGAATGTAGGTAGGCGCGATAGAGCCACACCCGCAAAGCCGGGCCGTATCACGCAGAGGTTCGAAGTGCCTGGAGTGCTCTGGAACCGCTTGAAGAATTTTTGAGGCTGGCCCCGCTCACCTTGACGCACGCTCCACACACAACAGCATTCTGTCGCCTTAAAGCGTCTTGCTTTGGAATGCACTCCCGCATTCAGCAGTGGAACGCGTTAAATGGCCCTCACTAAGGTTGTTGATGGAAGATAATTGTGGTAAGCGTGATTAAGTCAATTGCTGCTGTTCATAACATCTCTGTAAACAAACCCATGCATTTGGAATAGAGCTAGCTTAGCGGTCGTACATGATGTCGTTACTAATAAGCAGTGA